AAAAGAAAAAGAAAAAAGACTAATTTCATAGTATCTTTCTCTTTTACAGTTGAAGAATTATGGTTTCCTTTACCATCATGTAGGTTTATTTTTGAATTTACATTTGCCCAACCCAAATTTTTACTTGCATGTAAAAGCTACTTACATTTTGGAGTGTGATTATCATCATCCAGGAATATAAGTGGACATCATCCATAAATATTCATGTTACAAGTAGTATACACATGTCAATCAAACCAATATCAATATAAAGGATAGATAGATTTTAATACTATGATAAGGATCAAAAGTTTTAAAACTTACATTGCTTTTTTTAAATTTTGGATGGATGCCTCCTAAATGCAGGATATGAATGTGAGAATTGGCTAGTTGGTTGTTGTTTGGGATAGATGATATAGATAATGTTCCTCTTTAAATGAATGGAATTGATGTATTTTTTATTGGTCATTAAGAGAAATAGGTTTTGTTTTGTTCCACTTTTGATAGGTTAAGGATTGGATGAGAAAGCACTGGAGCTTCTCTCATGGCAACTGAGTATATTTTTTCAGCTCATCTTACTGCATTACTCCAAATGTACTGGGGAAAAAGACTATAAGGGTTGAACTACTTATAGTAGTTTTTATTCTTCTTCTTTGACAGACTGTATAATTTTAAAATACACTACAGAACACTTTCTATAATATAACTAAATTATAGTTAATACCATTTGAAATTGAAAAGAAACACAAACACACTCTGAACCAGTGCATTTAGGAATTAACCTTGTTAACATACTATTCTGGGAGAACTATGTGGCATTGAAAGTGTCCTCCTGTTGGCCTCTGACATATCCAAGTATGACATTTGAGTTAAAGTCACCTTACAAGGTAGGACCCCGAGAAAGGAGAAAAGATATTGGGTCTCAGGGTAAAAGGATCAGTGCTGATGGAAAGAGTGAGGATCTGTTGCTCTGGATTTGCCTTTATTTTTTTCCTGAAAAAACCTTTCTCTTTTAATTTGAAAATTAAGATGGGTCCAACAACTCAACATCTAGTATTTTAAAAGATAGCTTTTTTTTTAGACAGAGCCTCAAGCTGTACCCCTGGGTAGAGTGCTGTGGTATCACAGCTCACAGCAACCTCCAACTCCTAGGCTCAAGCGAGTCTCCTGCCTCTGCCTCCCAAGTAGCTGGAACTACAGGTGCCTGCCACAACACCCGGCTATTTTTTGGTTGCAGCCATCATTGTTATTTGGTGGGCCCGGGCTGTATTTGAACCTGCCACCTTAGGTGTATGTGGCTGGCGCCTTAGCCACGTGAGCCTTAGGCACCAAGCCTAAAAGATAGCTTTTAATGAGTAAATTGATATAGGACTTTTAATGACCTAAATTAAAGTTAAAAGTTTCATACTTGCTGTGAATATATCACATCAAATCAAAACTACTTCGGGAGAAAAAGTTCTAATACATTGTATTTCATGGAAAATGAAAACATCTTTAAGGCATGGCGCCTGTGGCTCAAGTGGCTAAGGCACCAGCCACATACACCTAAGGTGATGGGTTTGAGCCCGGGCCCACCAAACAATAATGAGGGCTGCAACCAAAAAATAGCCAGGCGTCGTGGCAAGCACCTGTGGTCCCAGCTACTTGGGAGGCTGAGGCAGGAGACTCGCTTGAGCCCAGGAGTTGGAGGTTGCTGTGAGCTGTGATGCCATGGCACTCTACCCAGGGGGATAGCTTGAGGCTCTGTCTCAAAAAAGAAAACATCTTTAAGACTCTTCCTTATCTTATTCCCTTTTAGTATCAGTCAGTGTGCTTAAGCATGCTGTTCTATTCTTTCTAACCCTGTTTTCAAGAATGAGTAACTATCACTAACAGTTTGTGAGGCAGTAGGAAAACAATTGTTTGATTTCTCAGGATAAAAAGATTGCAACTCCTGAATGATCTGGTAGTATTGAAGCTGGTGTAGATTTGAACTATTAACTTGTTTTCCCCAGAGTTTCCTATCAGATGCATAGGAAATGAACAGGGACTGATTCAAACACTTGTTAAATGTGTTTACCATTGAATCCCTTTTTTTTTCTTATTTTTGTTTTGTTTCATTTGGTTTCATGCTGGTAAAAATGGGAAAATTATCTGAAACCAACTGTCTCAAAGAGAATCCTTCTGCAATAGTAGAAAGAATGTGGAAGACGCTTACTGTCTAACAAACATGTGTTCAAACCTTAGAGACCTTCTTTAAGTTTACTTTTTCCATCTGTAAATAATTTAATAATATCTACCTCCTAATATAATTTGAGTATGAAATTAAATATCTGCAAAAGCATGAAGTGCAAGTGGACAGTCAATATTTAGTTTGCTTTGTCTTTGCTAATCTTTCACAAAATTAAAATCAGCAGAAACTTATGACTGTGTACTCAGATCATTCCTAGATGTGCAGAATGTGGAACTCATTTTTAGGTTTCAGGAGTTTTGACTCGAATCTGGGTTGTCAAAAGTCCCTCTTTACCTACTAACCAAGAAATGTCTTTGGCTGCAAACTGCATCTGTGCTTAATAAACAGTTTCTTATTTTCTTTCTAGTCCAGTGGTATTCACTTCTGGCTATGTCTTAGAATCACCTATAGCTTTTATTTGTTTACGTATTTATTTTTTTGGAGACACAGTCTCACTTTGTTGCCCTTGGTGAGTACTGTTGCATCATAGCTCTCAGCAACCTCAAACTCTTGGGCTCAGTGATCCCCTTGCCTCAGCCTCCACGTAGCTGGAACTACAGGTGCCCACCACAATGCCTGCTAATAGAGACTGTGTCTTGTATTTGCTCAGACTGGTCTCAGACTCCTGAGCTCAAGCAATCCACCTCCCTTCGCCTCCCAGAGTGCTAGGATTATAGGTGTGAGCTGCCAGCTTCCTAGATAGCTTTTCTTCTTTTTCTTTTCTTTTCTTCTTTTTTTTGAGACAGTCTCACTTTGTCCCCCTTGGTAGAGTGCAGTAGCATCATAGCTCACAGCAACCCCAGACTTTTGGGCTCAATCCATCCCCTTGCTCAGCCTCCTGAGTAGCTGGGACTACAGGTGCTTGCCACAATGCCTGGATTTTTTTAGAAACAGGTCTTGCTCTGGGTCAGGCTGGTCTGGAGCTCAGGCAATCCACCCGCCTCAGCCTCCCAGAGTGCTAGGATTACAGGCATGAGCCACTGCGCCCAGCCTTGGATAGCTTTTAATAATCTTTATGCCCACTCTTCAAACCAAAGCAGTTAAACCAGAATCTTGGTGGGGTGAGA